GAGAGGGCGAACTGGCAGCTTGTTAGTTCCTATCGACTTTCACAATTTGTTTCGAAGATCTTCTATTTCTTCCAATTCCAGCCTTTCCCAAACGAATGTTGCTATGTCACCGCTTCGGGATGTACCATCACTGCCATCCTCGTCATCAATTTCGCAGTCATTGTTAGGCCTTCGACCATCACCGCCCCTGAAGGACCTTTCTGGATTGCAACGAAACTATCAACCGGTTAGACACTATTTTAAAACACTTATTTTTTTCGCCACTTCATTCGGCCGTTTATAGTCGGCGCCTCGCTCCCAACCGTCATCCGGCAGCAAGAAAGGCGCGCAGCCGAGTGCCGACGGTTTCTTCCATTGTCGGTTGTGCGATAAATGCTTTGAGAAGGTCAAGGTTAGTGTGACGTTCCGCATTTGTTTTCCCTTTATTTTGCTCTCTGTTGCAGCTCTTCTCATGTTTATTGGGATTCCCATTTTCCCATTGTTCCCAGGGGAACACCATTGTTTCTTTTTTCTCTGATCCTCCATGTTTCAGTCACTCAACGCTCACATGAAATCTCACGCAATGAAAGCTCGAGCCGAAGCCGAAGCGAAGGCACAAGTTGATGCTCAGTTGGCAGCGCAGTCCAATGCGGTAAGTGACCTGTTCTTTTTAGTGAGGGAGCACTGTACTCCGCACAGCTCTGAGCCCTGTTGGCATCGATTTGTAATACTATGCCATTCAGCTCCAGAACGGACATCTCAACCTTGCTGGGTTGTCACCTTCACTGCAGGGCGTCACTCAGTCATTGCCCACTGTCTCAAGCCATCCAGCCAGTGGACTTAACTTCCAGCACGTACGTGTCGTAGTAACTTACATTTATTTATTTCTATCGCAACATTATTTCTTCTTACATATACATGCACGAAAGCTTCATAGGGAGGGGACTTTTAAAAACGCTAGTCCATATTGGTTCTGCTCAAGGCCTTACCTCTCTGTTGTCCTAACAGATCCATAAAAAGTGATTGTACCCACGGCTTTGACCCATCGGGCAGTTGGCTAACTCGATTCATTGTATCATAAGTGCTCGTGAATCAATAGGTTATAATAGTACTCTTAATAAGTTGTTTTTATACGTCATGCAAAGTTTGAGAAGGATTCCTCCAATTTGATGCGAGGTACGCGACAGAAGGCCCGTCGCGCGGCAAGAAGGCGGAGTCAGCGGACGAGTTGCAGCGCGTACTGTAGTGAAATAGAATGTAGCACTGCACGTCCTACACTGCACATCACGCGCTGCGACTCACCCGCTGACTCTGCCTCCTTTCCACGCGACGGCGAACTCGGTGGACGAGTCGTAGCACGTAGTAGTAGTGGTGCATCTAAATCACTCCTGTGCGCGCGGCGACTCGTACGCTGACTCTTCCTTCACGCCGGGCCTCC